GGTTTTTCCTCCTCTTATGGCCGTGCTGTTTTGGAAGATCTTTTTATATTACTGCCAGAAACAATCAGTTCCTGGCTGTGCCAAATTCCAATTTGATGAAAAATACAAAGTCGCCTAATTTCCATTTTCTGTACAGACATGCATCTATTGCAGAGAGATTGGCTGTGATTGTGCTCAAGTACTCAGGTCTGTAGGGGGAGAATAAAAAGTCAGGCATTAGGTAGGTTGACACTGTGCCTGTTGAACAAGGCAGCCCTTGAAACACAAGATACCATGTGCTTCTTGAAGCATGAGTGACATGCAAGAGGGTAGTTCTCAGTGAAAACACTCCACGGGATGATGGCAGAGTGCTTCTCTTCGACTGTACTTGAAGAAAGTGGAGGACTACAACATTTTATTTTTGCCTTGTTGTTTTCTGTAGTAGTTTGGATATTTTTTGTTTATTTATTTTATTATTATTATTTTTTTTTTGCATCTGCATTTCTCTCACAGCTCAAAGAGCTTAATCAGATCAGAGAACATCTATCTGCACAGATCTGATACACCACATTGTCTCCATTACTGTGAATTGGTGCAGCCCGAATGCCCAGCATAACACATTTCTAGGAAACGGCGGCAAAACGTACAGTGGAACTCATGAATAAAATGACACATAGCCCATTTCCTGTTCTGCTGCAGGTATTACAGAGAAATGGATGTAATGATGAGATGATGTGTGAGGTACAACACATGGTGTATGTTTGACAGAATATCTCACTGGTCTCTTCTACCTGCAGGAGAGACATTTATTTTAATCAAACAAGCTCAGTGCCCTGATGTGCTTTGACATCTGAGAGATAAACTGAATAACACAGAAAGGAAAGGAAGTGAATGGGTGTGAATGAAAGATGATGTTTTTTTTAAACCACGGCTGTTAGATGTTTAATATTTACAGTCCGTGTTTGTCAATCCAAAAAGTTGTGTATTGATATTGAATAGAGGAAGCTGGCTCCTGGTAGGAAGACGACAAAAAGGATAGATAAATAAATTGTTGGCAGACAAAAGACCTCTTTAATCCTCATCATAATAGAGGAGGAAACACTAAAGTCAAGGTGAAATCTTATAGAAAACAAAGAGGAGATCACTGATACAACATGTGCAGACAGTTTCAGTACACATAAAACCAAATTCAATTAATCTGTTTTTTTTTTTCAAGGCTAAGCTAACGAACTGCTACTAAAATGCAATATTCGCATCTTCTTAATATAATTACTGACACTATAGAGTTCTGGGCAGAAGCAGGATGCTTTCAGGGGCTGCTGAGAATAATTTAAAATGTTCCACATTTGATGTGTTAAAACACATTTTTAAGAGCTAAATGAAGGTTTTTACTCTGACTGGATAATTTGGTGACGTCATTAGCAGTCTGAGTCGAGGCCAGGTTACGCACACGCAGTGTTTTATGACCAAACAGTTTAGTTATGGTCTTCTGCTGCTGTGTATGACCCCATAAAAGGTTGAGGTCATTTCATGTTGTTTTACAGAAATCAAAATATGGGTGGGAATGTACAAATATGGGAAAATCAGTTGTTTTCACAGCGACATCTGCCAAATCTGATAAAAGCTCAGGTGTTAAATATGTCCTACACTTTCATATTCAGAAAACACAAACCTGTTAATCTGTGAAAAAAGACTATTTGATCTCACTGTTTTGTCTTGTGCACTGATTATACCTTTGCCACCATAAACAAGACTGATAATCTCTGATCCACCAGGGTTTTATGCATAAGAGGCCAGTTTACTGACAATATGAAGAGGAATCTGGCAGGTGTGTGAAAACGCTTCCCTCTCCTGGACATAAGCTGTCATGGCATGTTTGAACAGGTCATCACATACAGCTGGTGGGGAGTTCCACCAAGTTTAAGGATAAATAATATAATAAAAACATATTTTCTAGAACTGACAGGAGGTGAGTTTGCACTAGCATGTCTAGTAATGTGCATTTCCCAGTAGGATTTAGGGCTCAGAAACATCTGGTCATGCTGAGCAGTGAGCTTTTATTGTGAGGTTGGTTAATCTGTTCATTTGCTGCTTTAAAGAATGTTAATAAAAAACGGATCAACACTATAGTCACTATAACAAAAGATCCTAGCTTTAAACGATTCAACAGACGCTCGTCTAATCATGAGGAGGACAGATAACGACTGGTAGATAAAAACTTAGATTGAAGAATTTGTTTTGCGACCAAATTTGTAAATTATATCAGTCAGAAAAGTCATGATAAACAAACCCTGTAAGACAAGTCACCCCAGGGCCATGCCACCAGCACATTTTAATATTTTTTTCTGTGTTATCAGCAATCATGATGATAACACAGAGCCCCGAGGGGCCACTTTGCTAGAAATAACCTCATCAGAGAAACACTCCTCATTCCTGTTCTTCATCTAAATAGGCTGTTGACCCATATGGAAGAACATGAGATTTTATGAAAGGGCTGCAAGTAATGATTGTTGTCATTGCGGAATTAACGCAATTATCATTTTCTCTAGTAAATGTACTCAATAGAGTTTTAGACCATGCTAGAGAGCAGTTTTTTTTTAAATTTTTTTATGAATGAACTCTTGTTTCTGACCCTGAAGTCCTACATGTAAATGTTTATTCTTGTACATACACACTATCCGAAGAGTGACAACACCCACATTCCTGCCAGTTGTTTCATACTATAACGCTGATCTACAGGAGGCAGTAATGCACAGAGAACTGCAGCAATGTGCCAATAAAGACGATGAAGAGGAAGACTGATGGTTAGTAAATTATGGATGCAAACAATTCAGGGTTTAGATTTTTTTTTTAAAGTGGCTGCACAGTTTTTTTTTAGGATGGAAATGTAGTTTGTTTGTTAGGTCTCAGAAAAACACAATGTATTTTGGTGAGAAACATTAAATAAACCGTCTGTACTTCATTTTGGCCGTGCACAACCCAGCACTGTGCTAATTGTGTTTTGGAGTGCATCTAGTTGATTTGTTACTTTATTAAATAACAGAAAATAGAATAAAGTATCCATTACAATTTCTCACCATCCCCAAAACACCAAATGAAGGAATATCTTTTGGTGTTCATCCCCCCAGTAGATTTCAGAGACTTGTAGAATAAACACCAAGGTGCACTGAAGCGGCTCTGGTGGTGTGTTCCTTTGATATGTTGCCTGTCTGTATTTCAGTACTGGATGTAATCTACCACAAAGCTGCAGTTTTTCCAAACCTCCACAAGATTGCACCAGAGATCACAGTTTGGTTTCACTAACATGTATTCCAGGTATGCCTTTGTGATTTCAGATGACTGTTGAAAATAGCAGCCTTATTACAAGTGTTCATGCTCCTTACTGAAGTGCGATCAACACAATACCTTAGATTCCTTCAGGGATTTGCATTAAGAAATACATGAGGTCACAGAGTCACTTGAGCGGAGGAGGCTGTTTCCATTGCATCAGTGGAGTGCTCGGCTGTGCCAGAGAGTTCCAGGAAGAAGCACAATACTTAACATCATCTCAAAGCAGAGATTGGAGCAGGTGCTTTACGCTCAAATCTCAGATCTGCTTCTTCACTTCCCTGTGTGGCTCATATATGATAAACAGGGCAATCTGATACCTGTGTTACAGTACACCCTTTCCCTGTATGGTCCACATGGAAAATCTGAAACTGCCAAGGTAGTTTTCATATGAAATGTTTCAATTCCTCATATGACTTTAGCATTACTGTTATTTAACCCTACTTAATTATAGTAGCTCCAAACACTGGAAACGTCCCCTGAAATACCAGTGAACACTGTTGTGTAATTTCAGTCTTATGAAATGAGGTCACACAGGATCAAGGAAATATCTGATGTTTGACATCCTTCCTAGCCTGAAGAAGTTCATCGGGTCCATTACTCAGAGGTTTATGTTGTTGGGAAACTTTAATGCTACCAGATTACAAGGAAGGATAAAGTTTACACTTGTGGGCAGGGGACAGGATGAGCACAGCCATACAATCTTCCTGAGTACATTTAACACCTATCCTCACCACAAACCACAGCTTTCTGCTACCACAACCCTTTAAGAAATTGCTTTTTGGCATTTTGGGAAATATGCTATTAGTTTTTTTTTTTTTTTGTCGTGAATTGGATCAACCTCTGAATGACAGACATCCTCATGCACATAGAAACATGACTTCCTTGCGCGCCCTCCCACAGCCACCTCCCTTCTCAAACATACCCTTTCCCACGCACACATACATATCCCTAGATATCCACTACTTGGTCTACTACTAGCCTGGTTTTTAAGGGGCTAGCTGTTGTCCCCAGAGGAGCCAGTCTTTCATGTATTAGGCAATCTGTAGATTGGCAGCTATCCAGCAGCTGAGACACTCCAGCTACCCTGTTGATACCTAATCTGACTCCTATGCCCACACACACAAATGTAGACTTGCAGGCAGGTATACACATGAACACATACACACAGTGCTTACGCAAGCCAGCCTAGGGTAGTCATAACACAGAGAGGGTTGAGACATGCCAAGCTCTTATAGGTCAAACAGTGACTCATACTCAGAAGTGGATTGGATATTAGGAATGAATTTGAGCTTAAATAGTGCTGGTGTCATGAGCTGTCCTCAGGTTTCTCTGGTTACTGCTGAAGCTGAGGGGGGAAAAAACAAGACTATGCTCCACCATGCATATTCCAGGAAAAGACACTGACCCATTATTGACATTTATGTGTTTGAGGAGTTAAATGTTACATTACTCAAAGGTCACAGAACAGTAAACAATGAGAGAGAGAGAGGGTTTCCCCCCCCCCCCTTGCAAGGATGAAGTTGAAGGTGCTGAGGAAAATGAGAAAACACTGTTGATGAAGAACGGTGTTGGGAGAATTCTTGCAAGAAGACCTTCGACGCCCACAGTTGAGCTATGTCTATATGTGTATGAAAGACAAGCAGCAATAATGTAAAAAGAAGCCATGTGAATATATAAAATGTGATCTTTATTCAACATCTGCACACACATTTCAAATATACATATTTACATTTTTTGTACAACGAATACAACTCTTGTGTGTAACCCGTCTGGACTAATAATAGCCTCTAGGCTGTGTCACAAATACATAATTCACAGTGCAATATGAAGTTTGTGCACCCGTGTCAGTGTACTCTACGTGTCACATGAACTTGTGACTCACTCTACATGTATGAACCCGGAACAAAATCATAGCAGCTATCCTCAGACCTGCCAGATTCAGTATCAATGTCACAATTCTTGTACCAGAACAAAGTAGCTGGGCTGCAGAACTGTTACTGAAATGCTGCATCCATCTGCCACAATCCAAGATAAAAGATCTTTTATTATGGCAACTCTTCCATGGATCCACAGCGTTCAACAGCAAAAAAAAATAATCATGACAGGGGGACACCACTGAGGAGGTGAAACAGTCAGAACAGATTCTTCCAGCCAAGGTCAGGATCGTTCTCTGCAGACTCACTCAAGTGTTGACATCACCTGACAACCAACATCAAATATTGCATGACTATGACTACTTCAGAGCCATTCAGTTTATGAAACACAGTGATACGGGCACAACACTCAACACAGCTCGACATTGTAGAGGCAACTCAGCTTAACAATGTTCTAGAAATGAGCAAAACTGGTTCAATTGCTCAACAAATTTTTTTTTCTGTAATATGTTTCTGATTTGGTGGCTCCTTAACAGGATAGACACCTTTCTTAGAAATATAAACATTGTTGGATTGACAGAAAAAGCATGTCGCATTAGTGGGAGGTACCATTTGAATTCTCTGAAGTTTTCCTTTTTCCACTGAAGTCCTACTGTAGCAAGCCCTCAAGCTGAAGACGTATCCAGCCATCTCCTGTCTCTGTTTCTGCTAAGGCATGTGACTGAGTTTTTAAAACAGTTGCTCCCAGCATTTATTTTGAAACCAGAAACTTTAATGTCAGGTTTAGGTGTGGCTAGTTGCACACACAGCCTTTCTGAAGAGCCGATTGTTCGCAGTGCATTTAGCAGGGCCAGAGGCTTTATAAAGAATCAGCTTCGAGCATGGTAAAGGATTTGATTTTAAAATGAGGACATTTCTGAGATGTAGCTTTCTCCGTTCACTATTTACAAAGACTCCAATGTCATTGCTTTTTGTTGAGTGAGCGTGTGACAAACTCTTCCCACTTTGCTGTGAGTCTTACACCAGTAACACCCTGCCTTTCTCAACCTTCTGCACATGGTGTGAGATTTGTAAATGCTTTCCATTCGCTGAGACATTGCCAGATTGGCAGGGAGACATCTCCATAGCGTCTTGCTGAGTGTGACACATCAGTCCGCTGCTAAGCATCTTTCTCACTCTATGTCAGTGCCTGCTGCAAAAAGTCAAGCTTGTGCTAGGCCTTCTGCAAGCCATTCGATGAGTCAGCCATTGAAGCCTCCAGCCTGGTCACAGGAGTGACAGGGACAACATCCTGGTTGCCTCACCTTCAGGATTCCTCTAATGATTTCTGAAGCCTTGCGAGTCCAGGCTGAGAGCAAGTTTGCCATGGTTTTAAATTTCTGTGATACTCATATTCATAGTAGCCAGCAGAGGTTATTCTGTTAATATAATGTGGCAAGTTTGGAGTTCTTTTTACTTCTTTTAGCACCAGATAATTTCAAAAACATGTAGAAACACAATGAATGATCATTGTGAACAATGCCCTTTGCTAGTAACACATATACGACAACAAAGTACAGTACAGTAAGTTTTTGTAGAAAGCTTCAGGGTGTATGTACACACAACAGAACACAAATGAGTTTCTAAAAAGTGCCAATGTAAAAAACAAACAAAATAACAATGAATCCATCAATGGGATTTTGTTTTGGTCCCTCAGCTAGACTCAGCTGAGTCGTATCCATCAGCAGAACAGATTACTGTCCTCTTCCACATCGAAGGTTGGCACCATCTGTTCCGCCGAGCTCACTTCCTGTTCACCCACTGCCACTTCTTGTGGTGACAGTGGCTGGTGGAACCAAGGGTGCGCGAGCAGCTCCATCGCTGTAAGTCTCTCCCAGGGTTCTTTCCTCAGTAGGCTCTGGAGCAGACACTTGGCCTTGGGTGACAGGCCCTCTGGCACACAGCACTGGCCTTGGCGGATTTTTGAAAACAGCGTGGCCGGGTCCGGGTCATGGAAGGGGTAACGGCCAACCAGCATGGTGTACAGCATGACACCCAGGCTCCACATATCGGCCATCTTGCCGGAGTAAGGCGCAGATCCGTTGAGGATCTCTGGGCTAACGTAAGCGGGGCAGCCGTGGGTGTCTGATATGGAGTCGTCGTTTGGATCTTCCAGGACGTGGCAGTCTTCGAGGCTTTCTAGTTTCACCTGAGTCCTGGGAAGCAAAGTCAAAATAAGATCAGGACATTTGGCAAGACCTTTAAGAGCACAGAACATGCTTTCTTTAGTATATAGGGCATCAGTTTCTGTTAGTTGTATGTCTGCTTACAACAGCTATCCCTGCACCTCAGACCCCAATTGATACAACTGCAGCTACAAGTTACTGCTGTACTTTCATTTAGTGGTGGGAGATGTGATGGCAATGGCATAATCGGCTTTTATACAGGACAGAACACAATGTTCATCATCCCAATCCCGGTCTGAATTTCATAAATATATTTTTGCTCAATTCTCATGATGCTAGATAAATGTTGTTATGAGTTCCCACAGTTTATTTAAAACACTAGTCGTTCCCCCACTGATTGAGAGCAGTGTAGTTGTGTGTGTGTGTGTGTATGTTTTGTGTATGTTTCATATAACAGTGACTTTGTTTAAAAATATAAAACCTCTCAGAGATCTGTTAAAAGTAAAATACAGATTACATCATGGAAAAACAAGCATTTTTCCCTTGGCCTTAAGCTGCACAACAGGCACACACACACACACACACACACACACACACACCAGTGAACTTACTGTGACCTAAGTGCACAACAGTGAGTCTCAATTGAGAAGCAGTGCTGCTTAAGACTGCCAATGACTTCCTGGCACATAGTCACATAAACACACAAAAATACAACACCAGCACCCTCCTCCTCCTCCTCTTCCTCCTTCTTCCCTTCCTTCCCGGTCTCTACTAACACACACACACACAATGCTATATTTAGCCATGTTATTAGCAGGATGTACATTTAGTCTGGAACCACAGCAGCTAAGATTGTGAAAGTGTATTTGTAGAATGAGACATTAATCATAGAAACTCTCCTGCAAAATGAATTATGGGACAAAGACATACAATATTTTTAATTGACATTAATTTGAGCCTCTTGATTTGCTCCTAAGACTGATTAAGGTTTTATCAAGTTCCACAAACACACAAGATGCTGTTCTCATATTCAGAGGGTCAACTCTGTGAGACACTTCAGTCATCAGACAGGCTGCAGAGAGCAACAGACAACTAGAGAGGATGAAAACAGTGACAGTAGCCAGAACGACCAAGACAGAAAGTAGCTCATATTTAAACACCAAGATAGCGGAGGAGATAAGTCAAGAGAGGAGAAAGGGAGACAGAGACAGAGAAGGAAACAGAAGAGAGTTTCAAGGGTGGAGAGAGTGACTCATCCTTCTGTTGAGAGTACATATCTTCTCTCGCCTCTCTGTTTCTTTTTGCAGCCGAGGCTATCTGCACCTGGGTCCCACACTGGCGGCGCCAGCCATCCCATAATTGCCTTCAAATGGCTGTTGCCACATCAGTGACGCATGGGAAGGCTGGCCCAGCAGTGAAGCTCTGCATGCTTCACCGTGCTAGTCACCTTCCTTGATCTGGCTTTTTCAGCTGCACTGTGCGTGCGGGAATGGATACTGCATTTGTCAAATTGTTGTGACTTTTCCTGTTTCTGGCTCAAGTGGAACATTGTTGGCTGGGACATTGCATCACAGCATAATTGTTGGGATGTATGACGGGATAGTGAGGTCACGCAGAATCATGAGATTTCATGGAGACTGATTGTGTTGATGTTTGTCAAAAGTCTGGCTGTGATTGGGTGGAATGTATCTGGAAAAAAATCTGATGATTTGTTTTAACACTCATTACCATAGAACTGTTTCCTAGTGGCGCTACAGTATGTTGCCAGCCAAAGTGTAAGGAGAAGTCTGTGTTAATGCAGCTGGGTCAAATGGGTCTTCAGGGTCAGTCTACCAGCATTAATGTTGCAGTGCCATCATCAACATACCAAAATGCAGAATTACAGGCATTTGGGTTTACAATGCACCATGATTTGCACATATGGGCACATGCAAAGAATGAAAATGAGCACCCGTGTGCAGCCACCCCTCCTCCTCTTCCCCTCTGCATATACACACTGACTCATCACTCTGTAGCCGTATAACTATCAGAGGGACAAAACTAACTTCAGTTTGTCTCACTGGCCGTGTGCTCTCATTCATCCAGTGTAACCCTGCAAGCACATAGGTCATGGCTGGAGATCATTACTGTTAAGCAGTCCTCATGGAATAAAGGACTTTGGAAAGCTGGGGGCCGGGGGGTATGTGTGCGATCAGCGGGCGCTTACAGGAAAAAGAGTGACGCAAGGGTAAAGAAGCGACAAATAGTTTTGTAAACAGGGGGGTTTGTGTGTCTTCCTGAACAAAATGTAGTACTCAGAGTTGCAGACATTAAGGCATGTGGGGTGGGGGTGAGTTCATTGAACTACTCCTTCATGTATGAAAGTGTACTGAATGAATCCTTGTTGGACCCATTAGTTATGATGTAATATATTAATAAATAATGAGCAATAAATATATTCCAAGATATAGAACACAAAAGGACATGATTATCTCATTCACCAGCCTCGTCTAGCAGTTCTGCCAAACTACCACCCACTACATTCACACATGCACACACACTCGCATGCAAAACAAACACAACACGTGTACAAAGAAACACATCTAGAGTGAGAAAAGGAGACAGACAGAGAGGGCGAAAAATCTGGGAAGCTATGCAGACTGCCTCCAGAAGCGGCTACAGAACCTCCTACTCTATCTGTGCCCACATGGCCTGTGTGTATCAGCTGCTGCCATGTTTGCTCTGTGCCTTCACCGACAAGTCGCACTACCCTGCATGTTTTAAGTTTTTTTTTCCTTGAATGTCGGCTAACTGCATGATTCTACCATCTCACCTTTTCTCATCAGCGAAGACAAACTTGCGCAGTTTGAGGTCGCCCAGCACGATGCCAGACTGATGACAGTGTGCCACCGCCAGAGCCACCTGACGGAAAAGCCTGCAGGCGTGCTCCTCATCAAGCCTGCGACAGCTCTTCACCAAGGTGTGCATGTCCCCAAAGTCCTTGTCCAGAAACACGTAGGCCTTGCGTTCACCAAGGATGATGTCCTTGACGCCGGCCACATTCCTATGGGCAGGTAGGATCCCATAGGCTCTGATCTTTTCTTGGTAGACCCCCATATTAAAGACCTGGGAGACAAAGGACAGTAGAAAGAGAGGGGGGGGCAGGGATGCAAATGAGAGAGATAGGGAGGGAGGGAAATAGAGAGAGTGACTGTGAGGGGGAGGAGCCAGTGGGTAAGTGTGTTCTTAATGATCATCTGAGGAAACAGCCATGCAGATTTGGCAGCAGGTTAAAAAAGGCTTAGATTCCAGCTCAATACCTTGCCTTTGCAAGGGCATGACAAACGAATAAGCAAAGTGTGAAGTGATTAACTTTATTAATCAACAAAGCCAAAAGCCTGCAGGTCTATCATGCAAAATACACATATGGATTTATAACAGTGGAAGGCATTAACTTTATTAGAGCAGATCTTAATCGTGACGGTCATTCTTTGCCTCATGTTTGCATCTCTGAGTCACAGCGTGGCTTATTGCAGTGACATCTATGCAACTGAGTCACATATACTGTATAGTACCAAGGTTAGATGGCTCTCAGTAGGTACTGTAGGTTTTATGTCCACACCACAGCACAGCCTGTTCATAAGTGTATTTATAACCACATTTAAAATAATCATAGTTCACAATTTCAATATGAGGCAGTGTTATTGCGCAAAGTGTGATACATTTCGCGTGAGAATGATATTTGATGAAAAAGTCTGCTAAATACTGATGTCAGACAGGCTGTTGGGCAACCCGTTGTCTTGAAACACCATTCATTTAAAGAAATTGCACAATGACGGGATTGCGCATACCTTGCACAGTAGCTCGCCGCCAGTGTCGGTGTTCATCGCGCTGTGCGTGATCTCCCGGTCCGTCAGAGGTAGAAGCAGAAACGGTCCTATCCTGGACGGTCCCTGGTGGGTCGCCGGGCCAGGGATTGAGACCAGCCTGGCCGGGGACCCGGGAGAGGTGGCGAGGAGTCCGTGTGTGTCCCCCGCCTCCCCGCTCAGCCTTGCGCATTTAGCCAGCGGTTGATCGTCTGAGTCCAGCCCCTTGTGCGCGACCCTACCGGTGCGAATGCAGGGTGCTGGGCTGCTCCACTGCAAGTTCATCCTGATTGACTGATTCACCATGAAAGCAACTAACGAGACCCTGACTTGTTTAGGATGTGATGGTTACAATAAACTGCAAACAGTGCGCTCCATCCATGTGAGACTCATACTAGTTGAGATATAAATGAAACTTCTGCGGATTCAGTCACGGTGCGTTTTTGGTAATAATCCAACCTGCGTCCTTTTGGAGAGCGAATGCCCGTGGCTCTGAGGTCTGTGTACTGTACTTCTGGTGAGAAATACGGACTGAAAGAGAGAGGGGGTGGGGGTGGGGGGTAGACAGCACCAGAGACAGAGAGAAAGACAGATAGACAGACCGCCCCGCACTCAGAGAGAGGCAGAGAGTGAGTGAGCTCCTATGATGTTGAGCTCTGAGCTCAAACACTCCGCCCGAGCAGTCCAGCCTCCTGGTGACACAACCATTGAGCAATCCAGTAACGGCACCGACTCCAGCTCGGCTCGTCTCTGATGAAACTGCCTGCTGCTATTACCTTTCACACAGGACTACGTGAGCATATGGCTCAAACATTAATGGCTTTTTTTTTTTTACTGTGTTTGTCATGGTGTCATAAATCTCTCAGCTGCTGCCTTAGGTTTTACTAATGCCAAAATAACCTGAGCGTGAGAGGAATGAAGAAATCATCAGCTATTTATCATGCCTGCCTCATCAAGCATGCATCACATGTTTTAGACAATAATTAACGATCTTTAAAGTGTGACTCAGTTGTTCCTTAATGCTCAGCTCTTATTGCCCTTTATTACCAGTTGGAACAATCTCTCCTCCTGTATGCCACCTGAACTGTTTACTCTCCAAATGGCCTCAGTGAACTAGCTGGTACAAAGCTTAAGTGTACAGCCTTAACATTAGCTTTAACATCACCAGGATATTTTCCCATGCTGGGCCTGTTTATTGAGATGACTCATCCCCATAAAGCGTTAGTGGTGCTGGGCTATAAGCATTCACATAAAATATGCAAGCTTGGCCTGTAACATCCAAGCTCCCAGAGACACCGATCCCAAGATAAAACTATAAGTACAAACAAGGAAGCCAGTGCTGTGCAATCTTTGTTTTGCAGTATTTTAGAGAAAAAGTATGAACTCTGGGCTGTTACTTAAGAAGGTAACCAGACATTGAAGGGTGAAGTACAGTTTATAGTGTCAGTTTGAAAAACATTGCTGTGACAGTGATTGTAAAGATGAGCTGACGATATGAGATAATTGAATGTGAGTGTGTGTGTGTGCGTGTGTTAGTGTGTACCTGTTGCCTACATACGCGTGACCATATGTGTGTTGCGCAAGAGTGTTCAGCTACTTTATGTTGAACAAGCACAGTGGCAGCAGTAGGGGCTTACTGAGTGTTCACTAAAACACACAGCACCAGCTGGCCTGTCTGTGTGTGTGTGTGTCTGTGCGCGTGCATGTACAAACTCACACCCCTCTTTTGCACAAGCCCTCCTGCCAAATAGAAACATGCAGTTTCAAACCATTTATTTTCACATTTCCAACACAGTTCTTCCACAAGAGGTCACTAAGCCGATGACAGCAGCTCGACTCGGAAAGGCCATGTGAACCTGTCTCTGCTGGCCGTCCAAACATGGCTGAGCTGCAGATTCCATAGGAATGATGGCTGTTATTTTTAGGCCTCGCATTCTTTCTTTGTGCAGCGGTCGTCCTACGACTAAGGTGACTCAGCAGCTGGTTGATGTGTGTATGTTTCTGTGAGCAAGTGTGTTTGTCACGCTGTCGAGCAGGCACACGAACAGGTTTCATTTCTCTCTGCCATCTCTCTTTTTAAGCAGGATGAGCAGCTACTGTGGGAATGAGCAGCAGAGGTACAGAAGGCCAAAAGCTTTATTGTTGTAGAACAATAGTCGGGACCTGGTGCGTTAGTGCTTCAAAGTGATGATGCATCGTTTTATCTTGTATACGTGCGACACAGTCTTTAGGTATACATCGGAAAAACTGACTCAATTGCACTGGCTCAACAAAGTGTTTGCATGTGCCTTAAGGGGCTTTCAGATAGGACGGGGTGGGTGCTGCACTGTGCTGAGCTGAGTGCAGTGCGAGGTCGCGTGTGCCATCCTTGCGAGCTGTGCTGAAGTTAAAAAAGTTCAAATTGGATGCAGCGCTTTGTGACAACATGTCGATGTGTCCAATTGTAGAAAATCTGACAGACCGCAAAGAAAATGGAGGAGAAGCTGATTTTGGCGGACCCACACCCTCTTGTTTGCTGCAGCTCATCTTCTCCTCATCAATACAACTAAAGCCAGAGCTTTTCACTGACATGTAGATACATCATATATCCAAGTTTGCTGCTCAAAAACCTAGTTAAAATCTGCTAGGCACCTCCTCAAAAGCATTTTAGTGACCTGGCAACTGGTGCCCAATATGTGTGCGCCCTCCTCCCCTGTGCTGCACTTAACTCCCGTGCTAAGCACAGCGCATACCACGTCCTATCTGAAAACCCTCTTACAATTAGTCTCAGTGTAACTGAGAATTTATGTTGAGTTCATTATACAAGGCCACAACATGCTACGCCTATGCAGCATAGTTTAGGTTGCTGGAGGTTGAAGCATATAGCTATAGCGTATAGCTGGTCAGCTAGTGTATACCTTATGAGTTACGTGGGTGTGTGTTATGTGTGTTTATACAGTGCTTGTGTAGGAGTGTGGCTGCATCCCCATGTCAGTGAGCCAGAAGAGAAAACGGTATTCAGGGCATCGCTCTCCCTTGTTATAATTAGCTGAGTCACTCACCACCAGTAGTGGTAAAGAGAGGGTGGGTATTGATCTGCTCTGAGAATAGTTCAGTCTGCTCTGGCTGACAGCCAGCCTTTACTGTGAATTATTCTCCGTTTGAGCCGTTCTGTCATATTACACATGCACATGCAGACATAAGAAATGAATAGGGACTAGACACTAGAACTTGAGTTAGAGGTACAGTTGGGCTTAGAATAGCTTCGTGCTTTGCTTACACTTCTTTTTGTGAGGATACTAGATAATGATGATGGGTAGATGAACAAACAAGTACGGGAAAAACTGTAAAATTTTGTTCTCCAGCTGGCACTTGGAAGAAACAGTGAATTCTTTTTCATGTCTTCGTTCCAGCTTTTTCTTACTCGCAGCTGTTTGCTTTTTGTCTAATATAGTGAAGATAATTACGGATGCTTTTTGATATAGAAAAATAGGGTTTTACTTTTGGCCTTTATTCCGAGAAGCAGCAGTGATGGAATTTTGAAAGTATACTTTGTTATCAAAAGGGAGCTATGATATTTAACTTACTTTTTCACAGCAAACAAATGTGCATATCATGCCTTCACAGACCACTACGGGTCTGCGGACCACTGATTGAAAACCCCTGACTTAGAGAAAGCCCACAATGCAGCTAGATATAACAACGTGGTGTCTGTGGTTATTTTTATCTGAGTTAGTCAGTTGAAACCTGTTGCATAATTATTAAACCATCCTGATTAATGATTGTCCTGGAAGATAATGTATATCTTAGTCAAAAGACAATGCTCATTGTACATCAGACATTTTCATTTTTGCTGTGACAAAGGACAGTAGTTCAGTATTTCCATGACAAAGTATCTAAGTGCAAAGCTACGTCAGACATGGTGAACACGGTATTATAATTACAGCTGGAATTTGGTTCCGTTCTTGTGTGTCTGAAAAAGGTCATTTGATGATAGAAGGAAGTAACAAGTGCATCACCTTCCTCTGTTGGTGTATTCTGCCTGCTGCCACTGTTTCGTTTATGAATTTTGGAAACGAGAACTTTTCTGCACGTGTCTGATTGTCTGCCATTGTGTCTTTGGGCAGCTGACGGTTTGCTTTGAATATAGAATTCGAGTGTTGGAATGTTTACAATAAGATGGTTGCATTTCAATTCAGTGTGTAAATTCTGCCTCTAGAACATAAAGGAAGCCCTTTCAAGCATGAAACACTCCTCTGGCTGACCATATTTATCTTGACATAGGCTCCTAGACTCTGCAAGCTTTATAAACTCAAGTGTTTTTCTCATCCAGAATTAGTCATCGGCCCGTTATACCATTATATCCACTGAATAAACTCTATATTTTCACAGCCTTGGCTGACCTCAAAGACAATTAATCAAACAGGGAGCCGAGATGCGGGATTGTTTCATGTGGATGGAGTCCAAACTGCAGTCTAGCCAAAAATGTTCTACCTTCTTTTGCTACATATCCAAATCTGCCAGTCATTACTGCTTTGATCTGTTAGTTTGAGTCAGGACGGGTTAGATTGGAGCGGCTGGGTTCTTAGAAACACAGATGTTCATGCTGCTCAAAACCCAGTTCTGGTGTAATACTTTAAGTTTTTTTCAATATGCTGTTCTCACATTTTACAGCGAATGGCCACCAATTGTTTTAACATGAAAACACACCTACGCATTGTTCCCCATTAAATGAAAGCATTTGTTCTCACACAGTGGAGTTGTCATGTTTGCACATACTCAGCACAAAAACTTCCCCAAAGGTCTTCTGAGAAGCTGTAGCTGAATATAAAATTCTTAATGTCGACAGCGGGCTTATGTCAAGTGGCCATCTTAAGAGCTTGTAGCTGTTTTGTAAAAACAGCTGTAATGTTTATTTCAGTGCAGAAAGAAAAAAAGCACAATGTTTTGCAATCAGTGATGGTGGAATGGGGTGACACACTGATAATAAAGTGTTTACTATGGGTGTAGATGCACTCCTTATTGTTCTAAGAATAGTCGATACCTTTTCTGCTGCTGAATGTTAAACTGTTGTGTTGGGTCCTGTTTACAAGGACAATGCGGTCAAATGTAATCTTTTACCTGGTTAGTTAATGGCCTTGTTTATTCAGGGAGAAGGGAAACTTAATAAATGCAACACTACAGGAGATGCTTGGCATCTGTAATGCAGTTTGAGCCTTAAAATGTTTTTAGATTAAAAAAATATACAGGAATATCATGAATATATATTAGGAATCAATTTCATCTTTAACAATCAAACTTCAGTTGTCCTGAAATGATCTATTTTACCAAGCCACACCTACCTGGAGGCCATAATTACTGTAGAGACAGGTGACTATGAGAAAACATTAGCAGACCCTTTTCTCCAATGGAGCTGCATCCAGACCCATTAGTATTAAGTGCAGTCCTCCCAGATAAACAGCTTGTTCTGAGAGATGTGATGCGTTCTTGTTATGTACAATGACTTTTTGATGTACGCTGATACAACAGCAGCAATATAACAAATCTTTAAAACCAAAGGAATAGACAATAAATACCTTTAAAGTAAGAAAGAGTAAGAGTTGAAGAATAAACGTTATAAGCCAACAAGTGCTGTGCAAAATATACAGTTATAAATACAGTAGGAGTGTGGTACAGTATTCAGCAGCAGTGCAGTGTACTACTGTAATACTGTCCAGTCAGGGAGTACCTTTCTCCCTGACAGTGTACGCATGTGTACTGTAGGTGCAGGGGATCGGAGGGTTGGGGTAACAGAGGTAA